TAGCAGCACAACCCGTAACTACAAAGCATGTGCGCGCCACAGGTCGTTTCCGGTTATTTTTGGGTCCCCCTTCGTACTGTGACTGTGAAATCAATCAATCTTGATATTTTGACATATTTACATGATTGAGCCCCCCCTTTGAAGTACAAAAACGTTTTTTTTTTTTGTAATGCTGTGTATCTGTATATACATGTTCCATTCTAGTTCCTGAATGGTTGGTCAAATTTTAATCATATTATATAGTTAAATATTTATCCATCATTAATTGGTGCTCAGTGAATATGAACATTCTGGCACCAAAAGAATGGGCCTCCTAAAACCGAAATGGTAGCTCTCTTGAAAACTGCTCTAAGATTTTGATTAAAGTTCAGTAATTTATGGAGACCACATCAGTAAGTAAATCTGCATAGGGGTTATCTTCAGGAAAATAATGGTACCTGAACTACGGCCCCAAATGTTAAATGTCAGTTTTATCAAAACCAGCTTTACTAGTCAAATGGATTTAATTGGTATTCAGTAACCAACAGTGGTCTACTGAGAAACAGATTTGTTTCTAAAGTAGTGTATTCGTGGTCAGGTGTATTATCATTATTTCTTCCTTATTCCATTACATCTATAGTAGGCTAAAGCCTTAGATACAGAATTGTGTCAATTTATCTTGCTAATACTATCAAGCAATTGTCAAAAAGACTTATAATATAAGACAGTGTTTGTTTACATCATAATACAATTACTCTCTAGCACAGTACACTTAAAATTATCATTTAAAATAAAAATATAAGATAGAAGTTTTCATCAAAAGTAACAGAATATTTTGATCATATAGCTTTAACACATACAACAAATCCAACATAAAAACATTCAGTTATAAGTATGGTTATCGTACATTCACGATGATTATCCATTTACTGTACTACTCAACATCTTATATATTTATGTAGTTGTATAATCATTATCTCTTAAAAAATTCATCCAGTGTATAAAAAGAATTTAAATAAAGAAATTCCTTAAATTGTTTTTAAACTTACATATATCATTAGAAGTTGCTTCAATTTTATTAGGTAGTGCATTTTAAATCCTTATGGCAATGTGAATTACCCCATTACCATTACCTGGTTCATATATATATATATCCATATTATGTCTAGTATTTATTTCATAGTGATCCCTATTTGTATCAAATATTTCTGTATTTTTTACTACAAACATCAGCAGAGAGTATATATACTGTGATCTTAAAGGAAATATATTCATATTCCTAAACTGTTCGCTGCATGACTCTGTAGCCACATCCTTTTATTAGTCTTATATCTTTTGTATCTTAAAAACTTTCTGCATGTGTTGAGTTACCCCAAAACATTACTCCATATGTCATAACAGAATGGAAGTATGAATAATAAACACTTATAATGTTTTTACAGACACCACTGGTTTTACATTTCTTATCATATAATAAGCTGTATTTAATTTCTTTATTATCTCATCTATATGTCTATCCTAAGTTATATAATTTTGGATAGTCAGGCCAAGAAATGTTACGTGATTTGTATTTAATAAAACTGTTCCTATGCCTCCCATTTCTCTAACTACATTTTTTTACAGTGAAGTTTATATATGTTTTCATTATATTAAGTGACATTAAATTTCATTAAACCAGTCCTCCAGCATCAGCAAATAGAATGGGAATACTCTTAATCTCCAGATCTTGGGTAGGTCATTTATATATATTATAAACAGCAGAGGTCCCAGTATCGACCCTTGCAGGACACCATTAGTTACTTTAACCAATCAAGAGTTTAATTTACTACTGTTTGTCCCACTGGAGATAGCATTCAATTTATTTAATAATATATTGATTGATTGATTGATTGATTTAACATCCATAACTGTTACATTATGTACAATTGGACAAGTCAGTTTTATAAAAAAATATATGATATATATCGTGGCTAACACAATCAAAAGCCTTTTCTAAGTCACAGAAAATCCCACAGACTTGCATTTTTTTTTATTTAATGAGTCTAGTATTCCAGAGATAAGTCTGTAAATTGCATTTTTAGTCCCTTGATTTTCTCTAAATCCAAATTGGTATTTGCTTAATATACCATTATCATTCAAATGTTTTAACAATCTACTGTGCATTACCTTCTCAAATCTCTTACTAATAGATGTCAATATGGATATAGGTCTGTAATTTGATTCTAAGTTTTCATCACCTTTTTTTGTCTATTGGTACAATTGTAGCATATTTTAATCTGTCTGGGAAAATACCCTCATGCATAGCCCTGTTACATAAGTAACTTATAGGTTCACTAATAAATATTTTACAGGCTTTGAGTGTATTATTTGAAATTTCATCATATCCATGGGTTTGACTAGATCTTAGGGACCATATAATCCTTTCTATTTCCCTACTCATAGTTCTTATAGTTTTTATGCTAGGTAGTGGACACTCAAATTCATCAGTCAAGTATGTCATATAATTTGTAGTTTTAGATTTATTATTATTTATTATTAGTATGCAAGAAAGTACGGGGATTAAGAAAATTGCATAAGTCAAACTGTTTGTGCCAAAGCTTCGATTTAGTTCCATGATAGCTGCATCTCATATTAAGCTTTAGGTACCATTTGGCAATAATTTTCACTATTGTGAGTGGTAGAAGTCACCTTGAAATATCAGAACAAAAATCCAGCTGGACTAGTTAGTAACAGTATATAGCCTGAGGAGTAACATGTTTGTGTGAAGACATTTGAAACTTATAAGTGAAGTGGTTATGAAGTAGAGTTCTCTGTATTGTGACACATTTCTGCTACCTCAGTCAGGATAGTGACCAGCCTGTTTGTTGTTCCAGGATCATTTCTCAGAGGTGTCAGATTTTTCTGTTTCTCTTTTCTCATTTGTTTGTATGATGACACATGGAACTGATTAAGCCAAGGTATTTGTGGTTTTTAAAAATTTATTGCTGTTCATTGGTATATCTCTGTCACATAAGAATATGCCTGAATATTTGTCATTTAAGTTGATCATTTCAGATTTAGCTAGACTAACCAGATTCTGGATATAAATCATAACTTCTAAAAGGTGTACAAATCACAATTTTTTGTTCTGCCACTGAAGTATAGTGAATTGGATTTGAGGTTCTTGCAGCAGCAAAGAGTACCATATTCTGGGATGTAATGCCAGGCTACACAATGTTAATACAGAAGGTATTACTGTTCAAACTATAGTGAGTTAGGAAGGAGGAAATGACCTTGGCATAGTTTAAGATGCTTTTGATGCCAAAACATCACTGTTAAAAGTACAAAACACAACTGGTTAACCTGTAAATATAAGAAAAGTATTGCAAGCAAAATATCTGTAATTAATACTAGCTGCACCCAGTCCAACATACTCTGTTCTAGCAAATCATAAAAGTTATTAATTAAATATCAATGTGTGTTATTTATTTGTTCATATGTTTCATTTCATGTAGCTGATTATATGACACAGCAGTCATCCTGTCTCAGGATCTCATCCAGTTGTCATATCACTTCAGCCTTACACCCTTGGTTTGATGTGTTTTCAAGCCACTTTGTTGTTGCTTTGGCAGAATAAAAAAAATTTGAAGTCCATATCCCTGTTTATTTGCCTAGTTTGGATATAGCAGTGACACCAAATGGCAAATCTGGCTTTGAATCTGGAAACAGTTTGGGTTTTTCCATGTAGTTGTTAAATCTTTGCACCCATTTATTTATTTATTTCGTCTCTATAGATCATTGTTACATGATATAGGACAAGTCAGTTACTGTACATTGACTGATTACAATAAGAGAATAAAGTTACAATACTTAAAATTGTTTACAATAGATTACAATAGTTAAGATTTCACATAGTGTGAGGTGGAATCCATATTAGGTCCCCTCGGCATGTCGGCTTTCATATGTCCTATTGTAACTGTACTGGTGATAATGCTTATGGAAAATTTGATGGAATGAGGATTGGCAGGGGAAACTGCAGTACTCAGGGAAAACCTGCTCCAGTGCCACTTTGTCCATCACAAACCCCACTTTACTAGACCGCAGCGGTGGGAAGCCAGCAACTGACTGCTTAAGCTATGGCGCGGCTTTTGAGATAATGTTAGTGACTTTGGTGATAGCATTGGTATAATGTTTCACTGTAGACTCTACACTGCAACATATCACTACATCTGTTCTCCCTTCCTGGTGCAGCTTCTTGGTATCTGCAATCTCTCCAGAATAGCCCATTGAACACCAATGCTGACTTGTACTCTTTTGTATGTTCTCTGTAGTTTATGTATATCCCATCCCCTTTAAGCAGATCTCATAATACAGCTGTCAAATACAACTAAGGGTTTTGTATATATGCATTCCTTCAGAAAGAGACAATGACAGGGGGATAGAGGGACCTCTCACATCCAAGATCCATGCACTATATTTATTTGTTTATTTATTTCGTCTCTATAGATCATTGTTACATGATATGGGACAAGTCACTTACTGTACATCGGTTGATTACAATAAGAGAATAAAGCATGCGGATTCATCGGCAAAGTTCTTATGCGCCTCGCGGCAAGCAGTGCACCGGTCACCGTGAAGCGCAGAGCCGTGAACATGTCAACAAAATAAAAAAAAAAACTTGTAAAAAGATAAGGATTTTTAGTTGCTGGTACCTGTTGCTCTGCCACCCCTTCAGCATTTTATACCTGATGCAGTGACTCGGCACTTCTTCATGGATAATATGTTTCTCAAAATGTAAACAACCACATACTATTCGACAAGGTGACCTTCGTGGAAATCGACACAGGAAGAGCAGCGTTGTTCAGTGCCACACCAAGATGGGAAGGTAAAGAGTTTTTATTCCATTCTGAAAATGTCTTAAATAGCTTTTACGTCATTTGTTTTAATTTGGGTTTTGTTTTAAATTTCAGTACGAAAATTATGTTGGCGTTTGCTGTGCTGCTTCATGTGATTCTATTATCTACTGAACAAGAACACCAAAGACTTCCCCGACAGATACTTGTGAAAGAGGGAAGTGCGCGCAGTATTTCTCCTGCTGTGGACCAACTTCCAGCAAAGTTTGTTCGACGGGGTTATAAATCAAGCTGTCGATGTGAGAAGATTTCAAACTGTCCATTACTTCAAATATCTGTACCTCGATGTCCCTCTGAACAGTTTCTTTGCTGCTTTCCAAAGCCATTAAAATAATGACAGTTCGTTTTGTTATTTTGATCTTCGGCTGCTGTACGTGCAATATATCAGTTCTATATACTTCTTTATCGGCTGAGCCATGTGCGTATGTTTGCTCATAACCACGGATGAACTTTATATTATTTTGCAATTGTATTGGTTGGAATTATTTGTCTGAATTCAAACATGTTAAAGCACTAGATATTCACTCTCCATAGAGGAATGAAGTTTGAGTCTTTGCTATTGTAATGATATGTGCAAGAATAACGCACATCTAGAAACTTATTTTACTTGTAGAAGTAATCGCCGAAGTGTTGTATATGCTTGAATTGTGCCAATATATTGAAATAAAACTTACGTCCATGAATGAAACCAAAATTGATGTGGTGTATTTCTTCCTATCTCTTTGCTAGTCATATGGTTACCCAAGGACATGTCTACAGCTTTGAGTGGGATGAGACATTTGTGTGTGTTACTTATTACTGATTACCGTAGTTGGGCATTGTGTGTGTGTAGTTACCGTAGTTACGTTCTGAGTTAAATAATTAAGTCTCTACATCATTCAGATGGATTGTAACTCATCCTTGTTACGTTCTGGGTTAAATAGTTAAGTCTACACCATTCAAATGAACTGTAACTCATCCAATGAGAGCAGTGTTAATTCTGCATATCAGTTGAAGGGAGAAGTCTGTAAAATATCGCTTCAGGGTGATTCTGCCTTTGAGTACAATGAAGGGGATGAGGTTTTATATGTCACACGGCAAGAAATTGTGACCGAGAGTTTTTGTTATAATGGTCAAGTCGCTCCGACGATAGATTCACAAGAAAGACCAAGCGGTGTCTCTTTGTCTGGAGGGCCTGGAGAATGGGAATATGTGTTGCCTAATTCAGACTGTACAGATTGTGTTGTAGGCGAGCTTGGGCCAGAGGAAGCACGTTGGTTTTATAAAAGTGATTCACATAAACGTTGGATTGAGTTTAGTGGATATGACTCTCTTAGGATTGAATCCGAATATCGGCGTTCAAATCATGAATGGAAGTATTATAACACCATGTATAGCAATCAAAATCCAGCAGGAACATGTTCAGGACGGACATCGCCCATTAATCAAAGTGCCTTACCTGTGGAAAGTAGAAAAGGTGTTGATTCAGGCTATGAATGTAATGGGGCAGGTGCTGCACAGACATCAGACAGAGACCAACATAGAATTGTGGTGCGTGGAGGAATGTATGAGGTGGATTTAAATACCTGTAAATGTGATTCTATCTACTGGCCAGGTAGAGGTATATATTAGCATGCATGTTGAAGCTTATTGTGCATAATGATTTTATTTATTTGCAACAGCTTCCAGATTATAATCCAATATTTGCCCTTCATTTGCAGGAGAGGAGTGTGTGATTACCCGTGGTATATGGTTCTATGATATTTCATGGCAGCCAATAGATCCTGAATATAGTAGTAGTTTGGAGGCTGTCCACCTAAAATTATTTTATGGGAAAAATATGTCTGATTACTACACTGATCTGTTTAGCAAGACTCCTAAAACAGGTAATAAACTGCAGAGTAACGTTTTTCCTTATGAATATTTCAGCTGCAGTAAATTGTTTGCTTTAAAAATGAGTGTAGAGGAGCATAGTGATGATGTGCATGTTTCTTTGCCAGAATTCCTCACAAAATCGTATTCTGTCAGGTTTATGTATGAAAGTATATATTTGATCAAGGTGGTGGGCTCTGTGATAAACAGTTGAAAGTGCAAGTTTTGCATGGAAGAGAATATGTGATAGACTTACAAAAAAAAAATACAAGATGTACTATACATGACAAGAAGTTAAACATTTTAGGAAGGATTGTGCTGTGTAGAAAAAATGGCCAAGAAGTAATGTTCATGAATGAACCCTATATTCCTTCCGTACACACATGAAAGTCGTGACTCAGCAACGTAGCGCCTGGTTTTCATGTGGCAGTGTCCAGAGGTAGAAAGGGGAATTACCTTTTATCAATATATAAAAATACAGAATAGCTTGCCTGTTCACCCTACATCCATTATGCCCATAAATACAGAGGTGTCCAAAAAAATGTACTCACTCTTTGATAGTCAGTATCTTTGGAACAAAATGACATGTAGTTACAATTCTTGCATGGAGAGAGAGATTAATTGTATGTGTCTGAAGTGACCACCATCAGCGGCTAAACAGCGTTGATGCTGCCGAACTGCTGAGCGAACTACGGCTGTCAGTGTGTCCAGTGTGATGGATGCACATGACACTTCAATGGTTTCGCGTAGGGCGTTCAGTGTAGCTGGCTTTTGTTGATAAACTTCATCCTTGAAGGTTCCCCATAGGTAGAAGTCGAGAGGTGTTAGGTCTGGAGACTGTTGTGGGTATTCAATAGCACCTCTTCGACCTATCCATCGTCCAGGTAGAGTGTCATCCAAGTACGCCCTGACATCTCGATGGTAGTGAGGTGGAGCACCATTTTGTTGTAGGTAAAATCTCTCATCTCCAAACAGCTCTCGAATGGCAGGTAAAATTGATGTCTGAAGCATATCGAGATACACCTGACCAGTTACGGTACCTTCAAAGAAGAAAGGATGAATCAAACCGTGCGATGACAGACCACTCCACACATTAACACCTGGTAGATTCACTTCCTTGCCCATATGAACGTGTGGATTTACAGGAGCCCAATACACAACTGTGGCAGTTAGCAGTACTGTTCTTTTTGAATTGCACCTCATCAGTACCACATCAATACAGCCTTGTGTTGCTCAAAGAACAACATTTCAGCCATTGTTGCTGCTGTCTTCTGCTTGCAGCACGCACGCAGAACGACACCCGCGTGACCTTCGCCATCTGTTGAGAAAACATTACACTACACTACCGCGCAAGAATTGCAACTACATGTCATTTTGTTCCAAAGATATTGACTATCAAAGAGTGAGTACATTTTCTGCCCCCCCCCCTTTATTATGTGATAAGTAAAAATTACTAATGGGAACTAAATTACAGTAGAGTCTCAATAGTAGAAGTGAACAGGACTAATTTAACATGAAGAACTTAAATGATTTTATTAATAATAGTTTGTATATTGTACATATTTACTTACGCTCTAAAAAGTCAAGAGGCTTTCTGCTTATTCAATGTAAAAAACTTCAACAATATAAAAGAGTGGTGTGTTAAGACACTGTAAGCAATGGAGAGAATAATCTTGACTGCAGCACATCGCCACGGACTGCACGGAACCTGTATTAAGTAGGACTGAAACTCCCTAGACCCTACTGTAATGTATTTTTTAAAATTACATAACAATATATCAGTCTGGGATGGATCAGTATAGTGACCAAGTATGGGTTGGATAGCCAAGGATTGCTTCTGGGCAGGGCCATAGATTTTTTTGAACATAATTGCCTCCAAGGATGTAATGCAGTGTAGTTTGGTACGTATTTACTGACATCCTAGAGGAACATGCTGCCCCTATCATCAGAGTTGATGAGTACCTAACTTGAAGATGGAGGCATCACACTGTCCTGAACTCTCAGTAAACATTTACCAGATTACATGCTTCATCTCTGAAGGCAGTAAAGGAAGGAAGAAGGAACTGAAGTGATCATGGCGTGAGATTGACTACTCACGTCCACCTAATGTTGTGGCTAAGAATGCATGGAGCTATACTAGCACTTCCTCTTGCATTATCATGGGGTGACGCTTAACTAAGCACAGGAACAACTTATCTTACAAGGAAGTACTGAACCCCAACACATAACAACTGTACCAGGGCATTTGGAGTTATTTTACTCGTGGTTAAGGACAAATCTGAGATCAGCAGCTTCTGTGTCTTTCTTGTATAGGTTAATAGTGGGGGGGGGGAAGTGAATGATTAAACAGTGCCACTGAACCCATGGAGTAATAGTATGTAGAAATCATTTAATTCTCATCCTGTGCTAAACAATATTATCCAGTTCATGTTATTGATATGGGAATGCTGGTCATTAGCGCTAAGTTGTTCATAATAACAGCAGAAGTTCAGCACTGTGAGCTTAAAACTTTGTGTTTAAGAATCCCATTTTCATAATTCTGAATTTTCACTTCTTTTTTACTTAGAAGGTGCCTACCCTTCAACTTTAGAGACCAAACAGGTTGGACAAGAGGTAATGCGCTAGACATGTTCATGGTGTGTTTGGTTCAAATCTCACCTTGGACACCCGCTGTCCTGGATGAGGTTTTTCCTGGTTTTCCTAAGTCCTTTCAGGAAAATGCCAGGATAATACCTTGATAAGATGACAACTGCTTCCTTCCAATTTCATTAATTAATCATCTTACCTCTTTCATTGTTATACATATAATCTGAGATACTGACAGCATTGTAAAAAAAAAGAAAAAATAATTTTCACAACAGTAAATTGCTTTTGTATGTTTTGTGAAATGATTACTGGTTCCTAGTCATGCCATGCTGCCCATCTGGTATCTCTAAATGTTACTATCCAAGGTTCAGTAAGCTAATTCAAACCAGCCCAATCTAGTCTGGCTCAAGTGTTAAGAAGTAGAGAAGACTAAATGAAACCTGAGCCTAGCCTAACTTAACAGTGATCATATATAATATTGTAATTGGTATCAGTGAGTAATGATGTAACATGTACATTTTGCCCGATGTAGAATTCTTGAAGCCACAGATGTTAGTTGCAAAACTGTATCAGTTAGTAACTGATTCTGGAAGTCTGTTATTGCAAGTTCTGTGATGTTGATGGAATTTCAGTTCTGCACACCAAGTCATTTACGGAGTTTTATGTTGACTGGTATTCCCCAACTGAAGTTTACCTGTACAGCGAAACTGCACCATCCAAGCTCGTCCGTACCTTCACCCACAGACTTGGCTTCCAGAAATGTGAGTGTCAATATTGTAGATCTTACATTTAATTCGCCAGTACATGTATTCAACAAAATTCATGAGAATAGGTCATTTTAGATTCCTAGACATAGATCATGGAATAATAATAAAAAGGGTGTTAAAAGAATGGGCCATAGAAGAAGAACTAGGAAAGTAAATGTGAGATGTGAGGTCCTAACATTGATGATCACTGCCTTCGGGGATATGACATCATATAGTGTGGTAGAGGAAAAATACAGTCTCCCATAGTAGAAGATGGTATCAGCACATTCACCTGAAACATCAGGAAATGTATACCAAACTCCATAGTGTCATATACCAGAAGACAGTAATCTTGACAAAAATTAAAAGTCATTGTAAATTATGTGTTATTGCACACATAAAATTAATATTTATGATGCCTGAACCTGTGTACTAAGTTTTATATACTGTGATATACTTTATTCAATGTACTTTATTCAATTTAGGGTTGCTTTAAAAAGATACTTATTAACCTTTAAACGACTAAAGACAACGTATGTCGTCATTAAAAGAAAGTCCCCGGTACGAATGACGCTATATGGTGTCGCAGAGTCCGCGCGTGGCAACGTTATATAAAATTAAATTTTAAAGTAGAAAATTATGTCCTACTTACATAATTTTTGGCCACCATCTGCATGGAGGGTCTGTCTTCCCACGTGCGTCATCTGCCGGAATGTTGCCTTCGTGTGGAATTCTCAAAAAAATCCGGAAATGCAGAGTCCGATTTCGCAATTCACG